TAGGGGAAGAAAGAGCAAAATAAACCCAAAGGAAGAAGGAATTAAGAACAGAAATATATGATATTGAAAAGAGGAAAGCCATAAAGATAACGAAATAGGGCGCCTGGGTGGCTCAGTTGGTTAAGCGACTGCCTTCGGCTCAGGTCATGATCCCAGAGTCCTGGGATCAAGTCCCACATCGGGCTCCCTCCTCGGCAGGGAGTCTGCTTCTCCCTCTGACCCTCCCCCCTCTCATGTGGTCTCTCTCTCTCTCTTTCTCTCAAATAAATAAATAAAATCTTTAAAAAAAAAAGATAATGAAATAAAAAGCTGGTTCTTCAGGGGGAAAAAAAAATAAAAGTGATAAACCTCTAAGAAGACTGACAAAAATAAAAGACACAAATCACCAACACAGGAAAGAAACAGAAGATATGCCTCTCACCATTCTCATTCAACATAATACCAGAAGTTCTAGTTACTGTGGTAAGGCAAGAAAAAGAAATAAAAAGTATGCCTCAAGAAGAAATAAAACTGTCCCTATTTGCAAGGAACATGATGATCTGTGTAGAAAATCCCAAGAAATCTACAGGAAAGCCCTTAGAACCATTAAGCGTATTTGGCAAGGTTACAGGACACAAAATCAAGACAGAAATATCAATTGCATTGCTGTGTATGAACAAGGAGCATGTGGAAACTGAAAAAACAACAAACCACAGTATCATTTACAAGTGCTCTAAGGAAAACAAGATACTTAGTATAAGCTCAAAACACATACCAGATCTGTCTGCTGAGAAATGCAAAATGCTGATAAAGAAATCAAAAAATATGGAAATAAAGACATACCATGTTCATGGACTGGAAGACTCGATATATAGAGATGTCAATTCTCCCCAAAATGATCTATAGGTTTAATGCAATTGCTATCAAAGTCCCAGCAAGATTTTCTTTTTTTAATAGACACAGACAAGCTTATTCTAAGATACATATGGAAAGGCAGAGGCCCTAGAATAGCTAAGCCAATCTTGAAAATAGAAAATGAAGTGGGAGAAAGCACTCTATCTGATATTAAGGCCTACTGTATAGCTACAGTAATCAACGGAATGTGATAATGGCAGGAGAGACATACACATCAGTGGGACTGGATGGAGAACCCAGAAATAGGTCCATACAAATATGCCAAGTGATTTTTGACAAAGGAGCAAAAGCAATTCAATGGAGGAAGCACAGTCTTTTCAACACGTGGTGTTGGAACAATTGAGCACTCAAGGCAAAAACAAAACAAAACAAAAAAACAAAAAACCCATACACTTCCACCTAAACCTCGTACATTTTCATGGGGTAATTAACTCAAAATGGATCAGGGACTTAAATGTAAAACTACCAAACTTCTAGAAAAAAAAAAAAATCTTGGGATCTAGGGCTAGGCAAGGAGTTCCTAGCTTTGATACCAAAAGCATTACCTATAAAGGGAAAAAAATTGATAAACTGACTTCATCAAAAAAAGGTTTGCTCTGGGAAAGACCTTAAGAGGATGAAAAGGAAAGTTACAGACCAGGAGAAAATATTTGCAGAACATAATATGTGACAAACGACCAGTATCTAGTATAAAAACACCTCTCAAAACATTTAACCAACAATAAAGCACAATAAACAACAAACAGTAAAAAACAAGCAACCTAACTAGAAAATAGGTAAAAAAACATGAAGAGATATTGCACCAAAGAGGATATACGGATGGCAAATAAGCACAAGAAAAGATGTTCTACATCATTAGCTGTTAGGGAAATGAAAATTAAAACAGCAATGAGCTAGCCCTTGCACACCTATCAGAATGGCTGAAATAAAAAAGGGCCATCCAATGCTGGCGAGGATGCGGGGGAAACTGGATCACTCAGACATGGCTGGTGGGGATGCAAAATGATACAGGCACTCTAAAAACACTCTATTAACCACGCAACTGCCATACAACTGAGCAACTGTATTCCTAGGCACATATCCCAGATGCATGAAGATGTGTGTACATGCAAATACATGTACATGAATGTTCACAGATTTATTCATAATAGGCAGAAAACTGGAACAACCCAGAGGCCTTGAAGGGTTACATGGTGTGCTGTGGTAAATCCGTACCATGGATACCACTCAGCAAACAGAAGAAATAAACTATTGATTTTTGATACACACAACTTGGGTGATTCTCCAGGGAATTATGCAGAATGATAAAAGAGGTCATATTCTGCATGGCTTCATTTACATAATAATCTGGAATGAATAAAAGTTATAGAATTGGATAATTGATTAGTTACTGCCAGGGTCAGGGAAGGGCAGAAAGGAGGGGCTATAAAAGGCAACATAAGGGATCCTTAATGGTGATGGGAATGTTCTGTATCTTGATGTTCACATTGTCAGTATCCTGGTTGTGATACTTTATCCCAGTTTAGCAAGCTATTACCATGGAAGGTAAGTGAGTAAAGAGTACATGGGCTTTCTGTATTATTTCTTACAACTGGATGGGACTCCACAATTATCCCCAAATTAAAGTTTAAAAAAAAAAAGGACTAGGTTTGGTTCCCAGCGCTGCCACCTGGTTATTAGAAGCTGACCTTGAGTAGATTTTAAACTCTCTATCCTCAATTTTCTCATTGGTTAAATGGGACAATACCATCTGAAGCATGATAAAAACTAAATGTCATTTATGAAGGACAGGGTAATGTGCACAGCACATACTGAGCACTTCAAAAATAGCCCGTTAACACCAAATCTCGATGTAGACACAAATTATTATTCTATTATTCTAAACAGTATCATTCAAAGGTCCACTGCTAAAGCCATTACAAAGCAATTAATTTAAAAGGTCTCTTCCCAAACTGATCAGTCTAAAAATGGTGTGGCGAGGGGAAGAATTTCTGGTTTTAAAAAAATCAGAAGATAAATTTCTAACTAGTCATTGAAACAGTCACAACAGATAAAATGGTTTAAAATGGAACTACAGTTAGTAAAAAGTTGGGAAGGAAAATAAGATACTGGTTAACATATCTTATTTCTGTTGATTAGGAAGTCAATAAAAGTTAAAGGTTTTTGTGCAATGGGAAAAGGTTAAGACGGAGTTTTCTAAAATGCACTCAACACGATGACTTAGATTTAAGATTCTGTTTCTAAACATTTTCTCCACCTCCGGAGTTAAAAGAAAGTGGAGGGAGTCAGTGAAATCCTTATACTTTTATACCTGCTTGCTTTGGAGGTTCAGAAAAGCAGCAAAAATACAATCTGGCTCTGTGATAGAGAAAGACAATGACATGCACTTTACCCCAGAAGATGAGGGGAATTTTAAGCACACAGTGGATCCCCTTGAATCACACTGGGCTCCTAGCCTTAAAGTTGATGAAGTACTGGCCAGAGCTGACTCACAGAGAGGCTTTTGAAAGAGGTGAAAAGGAAAGGAGTGTTTTATCATTCAAATTATTCTCTTCCTTTCATTCCCGGCAAGATTCTAAAAGAGCTATTTTTATTAAAATAAATTATTTTAATAACAAATACAGAAAGTGGGAATCCCAGTGAAAGCGCCTGGAGGGAGGAAGGCCTGGGAGACCAGACCCAGGGTTCCAGCATCCAGGTCCCAATGAGGAGGCACTTTCCCCCAAGGCCTGGAGCTTCTTCCTCATGGGTGAAGTGAAAGAAACGTACCAGATGCCAGATGCGTTTCTACAGCCCTCTTGCTAAATTTAAAGTCCCTTGGGGCACCATAAAATCTAGTCTCCAGACAGCTGTCTGGTATGACAAACTCCTCTACCTCTGCTTTGAGACATACCTGTAATTTACTTTCCCCAAAATGGGCCTGGGAAAGAGTAGGTGAGAGGACAGGGAGAGGAGTAGGGATAAACTAAAAAACAAGACAAAACCCCCGAAATGACCCTAGGTGCAGGAGAGAATCTACTTTCTGCTGCTCATGGTCAATTTTCTCCAGATTCCCTTTCTTTGGGGCCCTTTGGCACTGACTCACAGTAGAGAGAGACTAGAACCCAGACTTTCTCAACTCTACAGGTTTTTTTGTTTTTTTTCCCCCCAAAACTGCCAAGAATAAGAGGAGCAAGCAATAGGAGAGCCAGAAGATTACACACCATTAAGAGATACACTGAAAGTTGCAAAGCAAGGAATTAATTTGTATCCTGATGCAGACAAACAAAACAACTACAGGGCTGGGGAGGAAATGTGAACACAGGTTGGACAGCTGAGAATATTAAGGAGTTACTAATCCTCAGGTCTGATAAGGGTACCGTGGCTGTTTTTAAAAATGATGTCTTATCTTCTGGCGACATACGCTAAAAGACTTTCTAACGAAGTTACACGATGTCTGGGATTTGCTACAAGCCACGGGTAGGGGTCTAGGTGAACCCAGCGGCAGGGAATAGATCAGCGCCGAAGGTGGGGGAGGGGGCGTGGGTGCGTACGGCTCGTTCTATTCTCTGGACTTTGGGTAGGTCTGAAATTTTCCAAATAAGCAGTTCCACCGAGAGACTTGCGGCCGGTTTCCCCTCCGGTCCACACCGCTCGTCCGCACTTACTGGGAGGGCAGGAAAAGGAGGGCTCCCTGACCCAAGGAGGCTGGCCGTGGGAAGCGCGCAGAAGCCATCCTGCAAGGGCGCGTCCCCGACCCGGCGTCCAGGACCCGGCCCTCCCAATCCCCCGAAGCCGGCCGGCTTTTCCGCTTCTGCGTCGCCCAGGCCCCGAGAAGGGGGAGGCGGAGGCCACGGTCGGGCTGCCGCGGAGACGGGGTGAGCACCCCTCCCCCGGCCAGCGCCCTCCCATGCCACCACCTCCCCCCACCCCGCCGCCCCAAAGCCGGGGGCAGCCGGCCGCCGGGAGCTGCGGCCGCACCTGCGCGCACCTGGGCACACCTGGGCGCAGGTGCGCGGGCGGGGACGCGGAGGCGTGCGCACCTTGAGGATGTTGTCGAAGATGGTGTCGCGGAACTCGAGCAGCGCCTTCTGGTCGAACTCGCGGCCGTGGATGATGCGCATCTGCTTGAGGAAGGTGGACTTGCCGCTCTCGCCCGCGCCCAGCAGCAGGATCTT